AGTGCCTAAAGGCTCTCCTCTACAGAGGAGGAACCCAAGGCTTATTCAAATCTACACAGACAGAAGGAGACAAAGCTGGGCCAGAGCAGCTGGGGCTTTTTTTCTGGACCCCACAGTCCTCTAAGGTTGAACCAACTTTCTCAGGAAGAGAAGAGCAGGTCAGTGACCCATGGTAGCCATAGGACAGGTGTGTGTGTGTGTACAGGGTCATGAGAGGAAGAGGGGGTACCCACTCAACCTTGTGTGTGTGTGTGTGTGTACAGGGTCATGAGAGGAAGAGGGGGTACCCACTCAACCTTAGCAGTTCCTGAGAATTCCCATGCCAGGTTTTGAGGAGCAGAAAGTTTCCAAAGAAAAACCTAAACTCGGGGCACCTGGGTGGCTCAGTCAGTTAAACATCTGCCTTCGGCTCAGGTCATGATCTCAGGGTCCTGGGATCGAGCCCCACATTGAGCTGCTTGCTCATGGGGGAACCTGCTTCTCCTTCTACCCCTCCCCCTGCTTGTGTTCTCTCACTCTCTCTCTCAAATAAACAAAATCTTAAAAAGAAAGAAAGAAAAGAAAGGAAAAACCTAAACTCCATTGTTAGGAAATACATTTTCCCCAAAAGCCATTAGGATAACTGGATTCAAAGAACAGCTATCACGATAAGTATATGTCTTTGAAGACCTTCAATCTTGGCCCAATGCCTGGGTCCAGGTTCAAGGCTCCCATCTAATGGGCCCCATGACCCAATCCCTGATTTTCAACAGCCCCTGTGTACCCCAGTCCCCCATCACCTCCTGGGCTCCCCTCCCTGGACCTGGGGAAAGATCTCTTCTTTCTCTCGCTCTAGTCAGACCACTAGAGTCTCACTGGCAGCTCAAGGGCATTCCTAGGACTCAAGTCCACCAGCTGCAGAGGCCTGTGGAATGTCCACTCCCGACACTCCTGTGTTACCTGGCCAGCCTGGTACTTTCGCACACTTTCCCAGGAGTGCACGGACTTCGTGCCGCGCTCCACAGAACAGCTGGTGCTGGTCTAACAAATCCAGTTAACCAAGGGCTTCCCAACAGTGCTCAGAGACATGAGCTGGCTCGACGGTCCCCACTTTATAAGGCTCTGGGGAACAATGTCACCTGCCCAAAGTCACCCAGGGGATGAATGATGGGGTCGGTCCTCAAATCCAGGAGGGCAGGTGTGTCCAAGCTGATGGGCAGGTGGCTCACTCTGCTCCCCACAGTTGGCAGGGCTGTGTAAGGCCAGACAGACCCCAGCTGTCTGGAACATGGCATCCAGCTGGGACTGGGGTCCAAGAAGCACAGTGGAGGAATCAGTGAAGCCCCAAACAGCACCCTCACTGGGGTAAGGAGGGGTGTCTCCTACACAAAGAAGGGCCAGGGCAAGGGGGTGTACTCTCTGGCCCGGGACCTCAGGGCCACCAGGCTCTGTAATCACAGAGCAAGAAAGTCTGGCCTTAACTCTCAGGAAGATGAAGTTTGGCTTGCAGATGGACTCCTCGATGAAGCCATCCCCGACTACCCCAAAACTCTCTAGCAGGGGAAGCTGGGAGCCCTGGCCTACAGTGGGTTGAGCTCAGGATCACCCGGCATCCTGGAGAAGTCCCAGGCTGAGTGGCCCCTGGGGCCGGTTACTCACACCCTATCCGTGCCTGGCATGATGCTAGCTGCTGGGCACCAGGCGGGAAGATGACATGGCGGCCATGAAGGAGAGCCCTTGGAAAGTTGCAGGGCTCAGATAAACAGAGGGAGAAGGAAGATGACGAGGAGGACATGATCCCCACCCTCTGTGGACTTCCCATCTAAAACAACACTGTAGGGAGACCTGCCAGGCCAGGCCAAAGAGCACACCCACTTGGGAGATGGACAAAGGCCTATGAACTTTGCAACGCATTCCAAAGTTATCGCCCCGAATGGGTACACTTTTGAAGAACAATGTATGCATTTTATGGAAAAGGCATTCCTAAAAAAATAAAACGGTACAACCCCAACTGGGGAGTCAAAGGGCTAGATTTCAGATGCTGCACATGGCCCGAGGAGAGTTTACTTCCCGGGGGACGACAAGCCTTTTGCCCGCTTGCTGGTCCCAGACGCAGAGAGGGCTCAAGCAAGGAAGGGAACTTGCCACCTCCGCTGCGAGGGCTGAGGCATGGCTCTTCTGGGCAAGGAGACAGTGGGGACCGGGGCGGGGGGGGCTGTTTCTGGTGCAGCTGTGATCCCCCCGCCACCCCTGCCAGGCCCTGACTAATGACAAGGGCAGTACGTGGTGCTGCTGAGCACTGCTCAGAGAGCCTCACAGGAGCTAACACATCCAATCCTCACAGCAGGCCTGTGAAGTGGCTACTCTTATCAGTTCTGTGTTCATTTGGAAACTGAGGCACAGAGGTTAGGCACCTTGCCCAAGGTCACTGGGATGTACACCCAAGCAAGCTGAGTCACCACTCTCCATGGGCGCGCTCAGCCGCCTGACCTCCGGGCCACTGAAGAGGATTGAAACTGGTCCCAGCCCTTCAGACTGGCGCACACGGGCCACAAACATCCAGAGAGGAGGATGCAGTCACTGGGCCACACCAGCCTGCTGAGCAGGAAGGCAGGCTCTGAGGGCTGTGAGCTTCCACAACGGGGTGTCCTGCTCATGTCACCCAGGGGCTGAAGGCTCTGTGACTCACTCAGTAAACATCCCCAGCCACTGCAGCCCCCACAGTTCTTCCTTGGAGGATGTTCTGCGGGATGGAGGACTGAAGGGCAACTTCCCTCGCAGAAGCCTCTTTGAAGTAGACTTCCTTGTGGGGGAGGGAAGGGGCAGTGAGGGGGGTGAGACAGAGAACAACATGATTCAGACAACTCTGAAGTAGGAGTCCATGTTGGGGTAGCTGAGATAGCCCTGTCCCTCCAGAGCACAGAGGTACACCAAGATGGTGAGGAGTGCTCGCTGAGGGGGTAGCATGGGAGGCCAATACCCACAGACCAAGGAGGCTCAGAGCCCAGCTGAGCGACCTACATGGGGAGCTATGCACAGCAGGGTCAGCCTCTAGAGACAGGAAGCTGGTCCCAAGAGAAAGGAATGCTCAATCCCACAGGAGACAGCTCTGGCTGTCACTCAGTCACCTCAGCTAGAGCCCCAAATCCAAGAGAGGAGGTACGTCTGGAAAACAACCAGCAACCAAGCTCGAGGACAGCATGCCAGTTAGCACAAATGCACCTCCTACCGCTTTGAAACTAGGCTGAGGCTTCAAGTGGGGGCTTCATCTGTGGAAACCAAGATTCCTCCTCAGGATGTGTCAAGTCCGTCAGGAACATTGAGGAATGCACACTGTTTGGCAGAGCAGGTGACTGGCTGACGGGCCTGGCATCTGGTCGGGGGTGGAGTGCTGTTTGGATCTGCAAAGGGGCTGGACGGTGTGAGGTAGGACAAGGGTGCCACACAGCCATCCGGACCCGGGGCCAGAGGCCCAGGCCACAAGAGAGCCTTCATTATTCTCGGTGATGCCAGTTTCTTACAAAATTACTATCACCCTCTGAACTGCTAACACATAACAAAACCCTGAAACACAGTGACGGGAAATGCTTCTAGTGCTATACTCCAATGAAGTGATCCAATGAAGCTATTTTTAACCATCTTCTCAGACTTAATTTCCAATTTTATCCTATAAAGTTCTAATTGATTCCACCTCCCTTGATCTCTCACTTGGCAAGGCTGTGAAGAACGTGAGGCAGGCTCGGCAGTTTCTGACGCGTTCGAGGTGGGGGATGTGCACGTTGCTCATACCTCCCTTAGCACAGGCCTTCTTCTCAAGGGTTAACAGGCTTCCAGAAACGTCTGTCTGATGTACCTTTTGTCCCCACCATCCCCAGGCACTGATGCCTGACCTTTCCCTTCAAAGGTCCTTCCTTCCCTGGGCCCAAGCTGTGCAGTACCAGCCGGGATGCCATGACACGCCGTGGACCACGGGACATGATGCACAGCTTTTCTCACTTGGCCCCAGATCCAGAGGGAAAGGATGGCATGCCACTGAAGCTCCATTTCTGTCAGAGACTCAGGGGTCCTTTGCCTTCCGCCCACCCCCTTGGTCTACCCATGAGCTGGCACAGGAGAAGGCGGTCCTCACCCACAGCTGAGGTGGGGAAGGGGCCTGACGACCTTTAAATCCTGCCTTGCCCGCCCCCCCCACCACCACCTCCATGCCCCACGCCAGCCACGCTGGGCTTTGCTCGTTGCTTGGATGTGCCCGTGGCCCCCTCCAGTCCTGCAGGCAGGCTGCTCCCCCTGCCAGGGCCACTCTCATGTGCACGGTGCTGGCTGCCACCTCTTGCCAGGGCATTCTGCTCTTAGGGAAACTGTTGCACTCCGATCCCGTATTAGCCACTGCCAGGTGTACCTACGCTCCAGAGGCCGGGGCCCACGTCTGCCTTGCTGATGACACTGATCAGCCACCACCGCGAACATTTACTGAGCAGCTTCCTAGAGCCAGACATAAGCCAAACACTTCCCACAGACTCATCTCCTCTAACCCTGACCACGAACAGAGTCTGTGACCACCGCATGTCACAGAGGAGCGCACCAGGGCTTAGAGAACCGAAGGGATTTCGCCAAGGTCGCTTGGAGGATAAGAGCAATGCCAGCTCAAAGCCAGAGCCTGGGCTCCCAGATGCCTTGACTCAGTGCTCACAGTTCCCTGGCATGCCCCTGGACTGTGCCCACCCCGCGATGAACGGAATGAATGGGCAGTGTTTCCTTCAAAGCTCTGCTGTGGCCCAGGCCAGCCCTGGGAGGGAACACCCTGGCAGGATCTAGCACTGATGATTCTGGGGTCCAGTGGCTTGGCCACAGTTCAGATGGCTCTGAGAGCCAGGACCTCAGGGCAAGCACTGCAACTTCATTAATTTGGGCTGGAAAGTAGGTCCATTATGATGATGTTTTTTAAAAATACAGCACCTGCTGCCCAACTTCAAATAGGCCAAATGCCAGGCCAAGTGGGGTGAGTGCACGTCACAGCCTACCTGGGTGAGGACGTCCAGCTGGCCCACAATGTGCTCCAGTGTGCTGGTCAGCGTCTGGGGCATGCTGATGGGCTCCTGGGGCTGGCTCTGCACCGACTCCTGACTCCTGCCTCTGCCGGGAGGGACGGGGAAATCCACATCTGGCTAAAGCCAATGAAAAGAAAGGGAGTCCTTCAGTCCTCATTCAGGGCTTAAAGAAACACAGAAAGAGGAATAGCCCCTCCAAAGGATGAAGTGGAAAACCACCCACAAACTGGAAAACATGAGTTCCAAATACTGGTGAGAAATGCAGTGTGCTGGTACTCCCACATCCGGGCCACGCGCCCCCTTCCAGGACTTCCTTTCTGAGCAGAGGCCACGAGTGAGGAGTGCCATCCAAGCACATGGCAGTGAGGGCTGGAGGAGCCTGGGAGGGAGGGGCAGGTAGGCCATTGAGTGCCCTCTGCTGCCTCCTCATGCCGCCCGCACCCCCCAGTAGGCCCCTCAGAGTCCGGGAACCCTGAAGCCCAGGCTGGCTCTGAAGTCACCCCTCTTCCTGGCAAGCTCAAGGCCCATTCCCCTCCCCCAGCATGGGCATGGCCTAGAACTGGGGGGGGGGGGCGTGTTCCAACCCTGCCCAAGGGCAGAACCCCTGGGAAAACAGGCATTTTATGTGAACATCCAGATGGCTGGTGGGAGTCCTGTGCCTGGTGGGAGAGGCACCCAGGGCTGTTGTAGATCACATTCCAGGGATGTGAGGGATCAGTGTTCTTGCCTGAGAAGCTTCAGCTCCCAAATGCAGAAGCCAGCCTAACCTCTGCCACCACCACCCCCAAATACACGCCCACAATCACCGAGCACAGGTGATTTCCTAAGGGGACTCATCCCAGTCCGACATAGGTCCCCCCAAATTCAGGCACCACTCTATATACAGATGAACGCTTCTCCTAGCCCAGGAAGCACTGTGCATGTGTTCAGCAGGGTGGGATTCCCAGAGCCACTGGGTTCCCGAGGACACAGTCGGCAGATGCCCCAGTTTTGGTCTTGGAACCTTCCTCCGTGGACTTGCTCCCTGAAGGAATGACGTACTTGGTGAGACTCTCACTCTCGGCCGGCCCCAAAGCCCCAGTAACCCATAAAGGCAGCCACACTTGGGGTTCAGGGTTTTAAACCACGACCTCACAAACTTCCAAATGTTACCACGTCACTCCCTGGCTTTGCCAGTCCTCCAGGGCTTTCCATTGCCTTTGGGAGAAAATTCGAGCCCCTTGACAAGGCACCCCACTCTAGCCTACCTCCTTCCACAGCTCCCCTCCTGCCCAGTTCCCAAGGTCCCTCCTACTGGAAGGCCCTCATCCACCCTTCCTTTCCTCTGCCCCCAGCATCCCGGCCTCCATTCGCTTTGCAACCCTGAACGCCTGATCGGCAGCGCCTCTGTGCCTCCCACACGCCTGTGCCGGCCCCACCCCTGCCCTGTTCCTCCAGCCACTCCATCTCCAGGGCCAGGACACACAAGTGGGACGGACCAATGCCGGCGTGCCCACAGGGCCCACTGCCCGTCCATGGGTCCGCGTCCCTCTCCCTGTCTCCTGCCTACGCCCATCACCCCTGTCCCTTCTGAATCTAGGACACCACTGGGCTCATGGCTTGCCAGCTACCCATGTGCCACAGAGCCTCGGCAACTCCACCCAGCCAGCAGAGTATACTGGCTATGACTGGGGCTCACCTAGGCTGCCTCCACACGTGCCACCAGCAGTCGGCTTGCATCTCTGAGTCTGCCAATCTCCTGGATGAACCCACAGTGGCCCAGCCCTAGGAAGATGCTCTGCTCTGGACATGCTCACCTGGGCGGGCATCAGAGTCCTCGAAGCGAATCAGCCCAGGAGAGGGTTCCCAAGTAGCCAAGGAGGGCAGTTTGGCACATGGACCCTACCGCCTCTTTTCCTTTATTTGGAAAGTGTTCTAGTCTCATAGATAGCAAACTCTCCAGTGCATGTCCTTTTGAACCCGGAAAAACACAGGCTCTGGAGGTGAAAGAGAATCTGAAGATGAGACACAGAGCTCGAGGGGTGTTCTCGAAAACAGGAGCAGCGTCCTGCATGCAAGCCCATCATGGGCGTCTCAGCTGTGTGCTGCAGCCGCTCTGTAAGCCCTTCACCCACCAGGGCCGGCCCCCCCCCAACCCCCCACGCCCCCCGCCAAGTCCTCCAGAAGTCCATGCACTTGGCTAGTGCAGCCCTGACAGGCGTGGGGGTTTTCCTCCTGTTTTGTAATGCAAGTGCTTGACTTCTTGACTGCCCAGGCATCCACTTCAGAGAGGCATCCACTCGAAGAGGGCTATCTTGAATAAACACGCTGCTGCCGCCCACGACCAGGTAAAGGGCTGGGCCACCCCCCACCACGGAGGCTCCTTGGTTTCCCAGATCTTGGTAGACTTTGATAACTGACCATATGGCCACGTGGTTTTTTCTTAAATTCCCACTCTTATGTTTAAAATTCACCAATAAAGAGTGAGCCCTGAAAATCCCTAGGCCTCTCCCCTCAATCCCAATAAAAGTGGAACCCCAGGCACTCGCTCTCTCTACCCTCTACCCTCACCCTTGCTGTGTGGCCTCACGTGTGTTATTTCTAGGTCTGGTAAGTAATAAACCTTCATTTTTTCAAAGGTTCCTGATGGTTACTGCTGAAGTGTGTCTTGTAATTATAATAAGAACTGCGAGGGCCAGTTTCAACCACAACATTGCTTATCGACAGGCAGTGGCACACAGTTTCAGATCCCAAAGCCTATGCAGGAGTCCACCCCAAAAGGAAATGTTCCAGAAGCCTCAACCAGCCCTCACCTCCCTGCGGCAGCCCCCAGACCTAGGCGGCAATGTCAAGAGACAGCAGAGAGAGGGCGCCTGGGTGGCTCAGTTGGTTAAGCGACTGCCTTCGGCTCAGGTCATGATCCTGGAGTGTCTGGATCCAGTCCTGCATCGGGCTCCCTGCTCGGCAGGGAGTCTGCTTCTCCCTCTGACCCTCCCTCCTCTCATGTGCTCTCTCTCTCAAATAAATAAAAAATAAAAAATCTTTAAAAAAAAAAAGAGACAGCAGAGTGCAGTGGGGAAGAGCAGGGATTCAGACAGGCCTTGGCCGACATCTGAGCTCCAGGACTGATCAGCGAGGTGGCCCTGGGCAAGAGGCTTAACCTCCCGGGCCTCTACTTTCTCATCTGCAAGATGAGGGTGATGATTGGGCCTGCCCCCCGCCCCAAAGGGCTGGGCTGTGAAAGGAACTTCTCTAAAATCAGCAGCAGGCCTTTCTTGAGAAGCGGCTCCAGCCCTGTGCCCACTGCTTCCGAAGGACCCCCCACCCCCACCACTTCCAGACATGCACACTCTTCCTTTGGACAGTGGGTCCCCAGGGCTCCCTCAGGAAAGGCCACGAGAGGGAGGGCGGGAGCCAGGCAGCCCTCTGTCCCAACAGCCAGCATCCTCAAGGAGTGGCCAGACGGGTGCTGCCGGCTGCCTGGGAAGGACAGAATGGAAACTCTGAGTGTTTCTGAAAAACGGCCCAGAAGCTGACAGCGCCGAGCCGAGGCTCTGGAAGCACAGTGATGATGGGGAGTGGGGGGGAGCAGGGGGAGCACCGCTGACTCGCAGCAGGAACCCTTCTGAGCCCAAACGGAGCCAGCTCCAAAGGTGCACTGAGGACAGCAACTGCGAGCCGAGGCAGGGAGGCAGCCTTCGGAGGGCGGGGCCGCGGGAACCGCCCTGTTCCCCTGCCTGTTCCCCTGCCTACTCCCAGCTCACACGGGCTGCGGCCAGGTTACAACAAGGGAGACGGAAGCTCCGAGGGCAAGGGACCCTCGGGAGGGCCTCCTCACAAGCCCAGGGTCCCGCCTGCCCCAGGCTATTCCTCTGGCCGCACCGTCTGGTCCTCGCCTTACCTTCCCCAGGACACGGCCCCTTCTGCTTGCTGTCTGCTCTCTCACCGCTGGACAGGACAGCACTGCACACGCCACCAGGCCAGCGCATGCTGTCCACCTGTTACCTGCCGCGTGCCAGCGCTTAATACATGTCACTTCATTTAGTCCTTACCGCGGCCCTTTACAGCAGGCATTATTAAGCTTACTTTTCAGATGGGGAAGCAGGCTCGGGGAGGTTAGAGGTCTTGCTCGAAGTCACCCAGGAAATGACAGAGCTGGGATCGGAACCCCCAGCAGAGGCAGTTCCCTGACATCAGGCAGCCTCTGACAGGTGACACGGCCTGCAGTTTTGCCCCCACGTGCCTTCCACATACATCCGGCATCGAACACTTCCTGCATCAACCCCCTGCACCGCTCCCCCCTTCCCGGCCCCCTGCCCGGCACAGAGCTGAACACAGAGCAGGCCCTCCACACACACGCTGGCCGCCTCCGAGAGCCCAGGCCACCACGGTGACATTCCTGGGTAATGAAACCTTGCCAAGGCAAAGGGCCCGCGGCCCTACCCCACAGCACCCTGGAGATGCGTGCTTCCCAGGGCTGGGCAAACAAGCGATAAGCAGAGATAAGGAGATGACGAACGGGAGTGGGAAGGGACGCACGCACTGGGCTGTGAGCAATGACAGTGACGGAACACCCGGGGTAGCACGTGAGGGGGAAATGCCGTCAGTGCTTTGCCTGTTCAACATCAAAGGGTCCCAGGGGCCCGGCCCGGCGGTTCTCAGGGACAACGACATCGGCACACACTACGTACCTACACAGCTGCACCGAGCTGACAGCTTTCATTTTGGCCAAATACAAACCTCTTAACGTCAACAGAAAAAAAGGTGAAGACTCAGAAGAGCCAAATCTCTTTCACTTCGTGGAAATCTCACTTGGGGTCCGTAGGTGTCCCCTCTCACCCCGCCCTGGTATGGGATCCTAGGCTCTCATAGCAGGTTCATCTTCTGCTCGCCTCAGTTTCTGTTGCCACCGGCCTGTCCCAGGCCACCAGGAGCTCAGCACTTTGCACACAGTAGAAACTGCAGAACTATCTCGTTGATCTCAGCCACTCCAACACATGGGTCACCAACCCATACATTTATTTATTTATTTATTTAAGATTTTATTTATTTGCGAGAGAGACAATGAGAGACAGAGAGCATGAGAGGGAGGAGGGTCAGAGGGAGAAGCAGACTCCCCGCTGAGCAG